GAGAAAAACAAAAAATAACGCATGGGAATTTATTATAGGGAACCCATAATAAATTCCCGATAAACTCCAATAAACTCCGGGAATATTCCCATGATTCCATTCCCACTCCATAAGTTTCTTATCCCTAGTTGTAATACAGAGTGAATGCAATACAGAATGCAGTGACGAATGGGTCCCTCAAAGTGATCGACTCATCAGTTCATGAGTTTGTTTTGAACTCACATTTCAATACGTTTTGCCTTTTATTTGTTGTTATTATTGAAAACACTTACCATTGGATCCATTGATTTGATCCCAAGAAGTGATCGATTGGCCCATCCATTAGTGCAGTGAAGGGCTCGAAGCCATGGCATACGTGAACCCGAAACGAGCCGTGAATGGTATGACACGTGGGAAGCAATTGGCGGACACTTTGGGCGACGAGGAAGACGTGGACGACATGACATTCCTCCGCCATCCACGACAGGGCTCTTCGGGCTATCTGTTGGCCAACACCGACACCACTGCCGACACGAACACCGAGTGGGAGGACAGACGTCGACAGCTGTTGGCTGAGCGGCGGGCCATCGAAGAGCGAACTCTGGAGAGCTCTAAAGTGTCGTTGGGTTTGGTGTACGAGACGGAGAAGACGGGCGTCGAGACGGCCGAAGAGTTGGTCCGTCAGAGGGAAACGTTGAACAGCGTTGAGGAGAAGTTGGACGGAATGAATGCCGTTATGAGAGTATCGCAGAAACACTTGACTTCAATGAAGAGTATTTTTGGCGGTTTTAAGAACTACTTCTCGAAGACGAACGACACGAACGCCACCGTCGGTCAGAAGAACCAAACGAATGGCATCGGGAGTCGACCCGCAGTCCAATCGGACAGCAGTTTGAGTAATACTATCGATAGTATGCGAAGTGAGGCGACGGCTAACAGCGCTCGCAATCATCCGTTTCTCACTCAAAGAGGTATCGAAACGGAAGACAACGGCGAGTCTCGACACGAGACCAGCCGTTCGTCGCGAACCAATCAAATCAATCAAAAATTGGACGAAAATCTGTCGGAAATTGATTTAGGAATCGGAAGACTGAAGAACTTAGCGCTGGGTTTGGGCTCTGAGATCGAGGAACAGAACTCAACTCTGGATCGCATCACTGGTAAAGCAGAGAGAGCTGAAGACACTCTTCAACACCAAAACAGACAAATGAAGAGAATTCTCAAAAATTAATGTCACGTCTGTTTAGCACAAAAACTAATGTCTTTTATAATATATAATATATTTACAACACATTAGAGAGAGCTGAAGACACTCTTCAACACCAAAACAGACAAATGAAACGAATTCTCAAAAATTAATGTCACGTCTGTTTAGCACAAAAACTAATGTCTTTTATAATATATAATATATTTACAACACATTCTGTGAACACTAAGATTTAGTTATTATTTTAATTAACGATTGTTTACTCATTTTATTTTAATTCAATAAATTGTATCAAACATTGAAAATATAATGCAATTGTTTTTCACTCAACACAAAAATGGAATATAAGTTTGCCATCCATTCTCTCTCTCTCTCTCTCTCTCTCTCTCTCTCTATCTGTTATCCAAACTTTTATGTGTTGTAAATATATTATATATTATAAAAGACATTAGTTTTTGTGCTAAACAGACGTGACATTAATTTTTGAGAATTCTCTTCATTTGTCTGTTTTGGTGTTGAAGAGTGTCTTCAGCTCTCTCTCTCTCTCTCTCTCCCCTAGGTTTATGAATTTTTAATTAAATCCATTTTTATTCATTTTTAAAAATATTTATAATTTGTTAAATAAAATAAAAAAATAAAATGCAATAATAATTAACGTTTTGTCTTATTCTCAACAATGCATTTGTGAAACGCCTATTATTTGACAACTTATATGAGGTTAGTATTGAGATCAGTATACAGTAAATGACATTTCATGTTGATTTATAAGTTATTTGATAAATAATGTTAATTAAAACAATACAATGAATGCATATTTTATAAGAGACGTTAATCTATGGCACAGATTCTATGCTATACTCAAGCGTTATCAGAGTTAATATTTTCAAGACATTTGATTAAACACTTTTAAATGTAAAACATCACGATTTATAAATATTTATTTAAATTTTATTCTGTTTACATGAAATAGTAATAGGGTATAACTTATACGTTATAAAATGATAAGTGATAAAGTATAAGTGATAAAATGTTCTGGATCACTTACGTATAATTTCAATCAATTATAATTAAATTGCAATGAAATATACGACAACATTGAAAGCTTTTAAGTTAAAAGTTTTAACCATATTGTTTCTCAACTTTTTATTTTGTTCAAAATAAAAAATTTTATAATCTATTTATAAATCAAATTACAATCAATAAGCATTGACAGCACAATATACATCGATTGTGGTTATTATTGACTACTAAATGAATACAAATTATATTGTAAGCTCATTAATTATACACAACTTTTCAAACTTCAAGGCAAACATTAACTGATAACTAAAAACTAGTTTTCAATAGGATTTCTATACATTTAGTCAACTTGTATTGACTTTCACTGTATTAAACAAAATAAGTCTCAATTTTAATCATTATTTTTTTGTCGCATTTAAATCAATTTTTTTGTTGTCTGAAAGTCTGAACTAACGATTGCATTAAAAAATAATTAACATCACTTTTTGTTGATTTAATTTGGCATATGTTTGTCTGGCAATTGATATAAGATTAAGCGATATTTAATAAGTTGTTAAATATTATTAATATATTAGGTGTTAAATCGGTGTTAACAGTAATATTGTTAATCAAGTGACAAGTTGTGAACCGAAAAGTGGGTCTCATTTGTAGTAATTTAAGCAAATGTTTGTCTCTTGAAGAGAGCGCTTTTGATATCGCATATCAGATAAGATAATTGACTCTAAAATAAAGTTTGGATAACAGATAGAGAGTGAGAGTCAGTGTCTGTATTTTAAATAGAGTGTTATATATAGAGTACACATCTGGGAGTCATTCACATCACTCCTCACAATGAGTTCTAGAAATCATTTCAATAATAATTATAACAATAACGACGAGAATACTGTGAAACTGAGGCGAACTAATTCAGTGACCAGACTCTCGGAGATCAAGGACTCAGAACGCAAGGCCAGGAAACAACAGGCAGACCAACCGTATGACCAAACCTCACGCCAACCACTATATCAATCATATTCTCTAATACTTTATTACAGAGTTCACGAGCCGAAGGACTCACTGTTCAGTTCGTCCAGCGGTTACACCAACTATAGAGGACTTCTCAATCTCTGCATTATATTACTCGTAAAACTTATGAATACATGTCATGAATGATAATAGATATTTGAGGCATGTTGTATGTTGTATCCAACAGGTGCTATCGAACGCGAGGGTCGCTCTCGAGAATATTATAAAGTATGGCATTTTAGTGGATCCGCTTCAATGGATCAAATTATTCATTGGCAAACCGAATGCGTGGCCGTCCTGTCAGCTCATACTGAGCGCCAATATCTTTATTTTGATCTCCTTTTTCATCGAACGCTTATTCGCGGCTAATATATGGCGAGAAGTGGTCGGCGGGACAGCAGTGGTGGTGAATGTGATCGCAATACTGGCTTTGCCGCCGATTGTCATCAATTCCGTTCCGTGCAATCCTATCGGCGCTTCCATAGCCTGCGGTCTCTATTCAATTGTCAGCTTAAAACTCGTTTCCTATCATATGGTTAACTACTGGTGCAGAAAGAGAAGCGCCAAAAAGCTATCAAACGCCGGCTCTCATACCCGGCGCCGATCTTTTACCTCAAAAGATCTACAAAAGACAGTACAAAATGGTTCAGCAATTAGTGATTCGCGACATATTTTGGTAGAATATCCAAATAATTTAAATGTTGTTGATTTATATTACTTTATGTTTGCGCCGACCCTTTGCTATGAATTGAATTTCCCTCGAAGTGAAAGAATCCGCAAACGATTTCTTATCAAAAGAATACTCGAAATCGTGAGTTAGATAGACATAGGAATTGTCAACATCTCATTGTTTTGTTGTTTAATTTAAATGAATAGTTATTTTTACTGCAATTGGATCTGGGATTGATTCAACAATGGATGGTTCCCACAATCCATAACTCACTTAAACCGCTACAAGAAATGCATTTCTCAAAGATGTTGGAAAGACTTCTCAAACTAGCGGTTAGTTTATCGCTATATAAACACAATTCAAGAATTTATTTGTTGAAACTTAAGTAAACATTTTTTGTTGAATATATGAAATAATAGGTACCAAACCATTTAATTTGGCTCATATTCTTCTACTGGTTTTTCCACTCTTGTCTCAACACAATCGCAGAGATTTTGCGCTTTTCTGACCGCGAATTCTATAAGGACTGGTGGTAGGCATCGCTACAAATGAATTGATAGCCATATTGTTTGTTCACTAAACCAAATGTCTTACACTTACAGGAACTCAGAATCTGTGAACTATTTCTGGAAGAACTGGAATATGCCGGTCCACAAGTGGTGTGTCCGACACCTGTATAAACCGCTCATTAATCGAGGTGTGAATAAATTTCACGCATCGGTTATGGTGTTCATGTTGTCGGCCTTTTGGATCTGGGATTGATTCAACAATGGATGGTTCCCACAATCCATAACTCACTTAAACCGCTACAAGAAATGCATTTCTCAAAGATGTTGGAAAGACTTCTCAAACTAGCGGTTAGTTTATCGCTATTAAACATAATTCAAGAATTTATCTGTTGAAACTTAAGTAAACATTTTTTGTTGAATTCTGTATACGAAATAATAGGTACCAAACCATTTAATTTGGCTCATATTCTTCTACTGGTTTTTCCACTCTTGTCTCAACACAATCGCAGAAATTTTGCGCTTTTCTGATCGAGAATTCTATAAGGACTGGTGGTAGGCATCACTACAAATCAATTGATAGCCATAATGTTTGTTCACTAAACCAAATGTCTTACACTTACAGGAACTCAGAATCTGTAAACTATTTCTGGAAGAACTGGAATATGCCGGTCCACAAGTGGTGTGTCCGACACCTGTATAAACCGCTCATTAATCGAGGTGTGAATAAATTTCACGCATCGGTTATGGTGTTCATGTTGTCGGCCTTCTTTCACGAGTACTTAGTGTCTGTGCCCTTATCTATGTTCCGATTGTGGGCCTTCTTCGGGATGCTATCGCAGATCCCATTCTCGATGTTTGTGTCCAAATACCTCAACAACCAAACCGCCAACTTTGCCGTTTGGATCTCCTTAATCATAGGACAACCACTTTGTATCTTAATGTATTACCACGACTACTATGTGATCCATCACTTGAATAAGACATCGTGACCACTATTCCTATCATAGCATTTGCTCAATAAATATCAAACCAATCCGATGTCTAGTCGATAGTAAACCTATTTTGTTCAATAAGTGCCCAAATATTGTGTCAAATTATTTTACAATTTTAGTTATATTTTGTATTTTTTCTCATGAATATGTGATTATTTATATTTGTTACACAAACAGCTAATGAATTTATTTTTGAATAAATACAAGTATTTTATATAACATTGTTAACAATATACAGATATGTCGTTTGGGAAGAATGTCTACCAAATCATACAGTTATCGTTTTCATCATAATTATACAAATCATATAATTCTCTAAAATATGTCAACAATTCAGTCAAATTAGTGCCATATTTGGCCGAAATAGCGATTATACGGAATTCAGTTTCTCCGATGTGTTCTTTTAATAGCTTTAGTTTGTCTTCAGCTCCGGGACTATCGATCTTATTGGCGACTATAGTGTGCGGCCTTTTGGACAGTCCTTTCTTGTAGTGTTCGAGTTCTGCCATAAGACATGTCAACTGTTCGAAGGGGTGTTCGACAGACAGATCGATGACATAGAAAAGGCAAACACATCGCTCGATATGCCTTAAAAAGGAAATGCCTAAACCTTTGTTGAGATGAGCGCCAGGTATAAGGCCGGGCAGATCCGCAACAGCTAACTGCTCGTAATCGTCGTACTCAACGATTCCCACCATTGGATTCAATGTAGTGAACGGATAGTTCGCCACTTTTGGTTTCGCTCTCGATATGGCTCTCAATAGAGTAGACTTTCCGCTATTCGGGAAACCAACTAAACCCGAGTGAGCCATCGTTTTCAACTCCAATACCCAAGCCGTGGCCTCTCCGTTGGCACCCACTTCGGCAACGCCTGGATGTCTATTAGCGTTATTCAGGAAATAATGGTTGCCTTTCCCTCCCTGTCCTCCGCGGGCGGCGATAAACTTAGAGCCGTTAACGTCCAGATCGGCGATCAATTTACGGCTCACTTTGTCTCTGACGAGTGTCCCGATCGGCACTTTAATGACAGTGTGCTCACCGTTTTTGCCGCTCATGTCTTTAGACATACCGTTTTCTCCCGCCTCTGCCCTCATAAGAGTGGACACATTGGAGAGACACTTGGTTTGGTGATCGGCTTCGAGTATAACGTGCCCACCATTGCCGCCGTCGCCACCGCTGGGACCGGCCATTGGGTTACACCAGAGCCTGAGGAAGCAGATCATACCGTCGCCGCCCTTTCCGGCCGAACACTTCACTTCTTTCCAGTC